TCCATCCCTCCTCCTCCTCCTCCTCCTCTTCTTCCTCCCCCTCCTCTTTCCCCTTCCCCTTCCACTCCCCCTCCTCCCTTTTCCTTCAGTGGGCAGTGCACCTTCTCCTCCTTTCTCATCCCTTCTCCTCCTCCTATCCTCCTCCCTCCTGCCGCGGGCCAGGTAGCCGAACCAGACGCCCACGAGAACGATGACGACGGCTTGAGGACGAGGAGGAGGAGGAGCAGCAGGAGGAGGACGAGGAGGAGGAGGAGTGGGACGACAAGAAGGATTTTGAGAAGGAGGAGGAGGAAGAGGAGGAGGAAAATGAGGAGGAGGAGGAGGAGGAGGACGACGACGACGAAGAAGACGAGAGCGACGACGATGAGGATGACGATGAGGATGACTATAACGACGACGACGATGATGATGACGATGACTTCGATGACGATGCGCGGCAGGAAGCCGAACCAGACGCGCCAGTCTATCAGGACGGCGACGTGGCTGTGTAGCCTGCTGTGCGCCGCCACCGCCCTGGGTGACATCGTCCTGCACCCCCCGCAGGCCGCCGAACCCGCGATGGACGATCTTCAATGACGGCGACGACAACGACGACGATCGGGCTCGAGGTTCGAGGTTGTCGGACACTTTCGTTGGTTCCAGGAGGCTTGCTAGGTCTGGGATGCTTTCAAGCAGCTGCGCCTCTCCGAGAGCGTTCTGGGGGTGACCGAGTCGTCCCGAAAGGCCGTTGGATGACAGAATTATGACCCGAAAGCCAAGCGATTGACGACGACGACGGCGACGGCGACCGCGTCTTCGTTGCGAAGGTTTTTGTTACCTAACAGCTTTTGCTGATAGGTTTCTAGTGGTGTCAAAAGAGAGCATCTTGACGCCCCAGGGGGGTCTGGGCGGAAGCCGGACAAGGAACCGGACAGATCCGCCAGCCCCAGGAATCCTTAGGAATCCTTCAGCATTTTCAGGAATCCTTAGGAATCCATTCCCAGAACACCATTCCCAGGCCACATGTTGAATTCCCGGAGCCAACTGTAGGCCACTTCGTGTTCTTCGTGTTCCCAGAACACCATTCCCAGGCCACATTTTGAATGCCCGGAGCCAACTGTAGGCCACTTCGTGTTCTTCGTGTTCCCAGAACACCATTCCCAGGCCACATTTTGAATGCCCGGAGCCAACTGACTGTAGGCCACTTCGTGTTCTTCGTGTTCCCAGAACACAATTCCCAGGCCACATTTTGAATGCCCGGAGCCAACTGTAGGCCACTTCGTGATCTTCGTGTTCCCAGAACACAATTCCAAGGCCACTTTGTTAATGCCCGGAGCCAACTGTAGGCCACTTCGTGTTCTTCGTGTTCCCAGAACACAATTCCCAGGCCACATTTTGAATGCCCGGAGCCAATTGTAAGCCACTTCGTGTTCTTCGGGTTTCCAGAACACCATTCCCAGGCCGCATTTTGACTGCCCGGAGCCAACTGTAGGCCACTTCGTGTTCTTCGTGTTGAGGCTGAGGCACGCCGAGGCTGAGGCTGAGGCTGAGGCTGAGGCTGAGGCTGAGGCTGAGGCTGAGGCTGAGGCAGGCTGAGGCTGAGGCAGGCTGAGGCTGAGGCTGACGCAGGCTGAGGCCGAGGCAGGCTGAGGCTGAGGCTGAGGCAGGCTGAGGCTGAGGCAGGCTGAGACTGAGGCTGAGGCAGGCTGAGGCTGAGGCTAAGGCTGATGCAGGCTGAGGCTGAAGGGCTGACGCTGAGGCCGAGGCTGAGGCTGACGCTGAGGCCGAGGCTGAGGCTGAGGCTGAGGCAAGCCGAAGCAGGCTGAGGCTGAGGCTGAAGCTGAGGCAGGCTGAGGCTGAGGCTGTGGCTGAGGCTGAAGCAAGCTGCGGCTGAGGCAGGCTGAGGCTGAGGCTGATGCAGGCTGAGGCCGAGGCAGGCTGACGCTGAGGCTGAGGCAGGCTGAGGCTGACAGACATGCTTATACACATCGCTGTTAGGTTGCTTTGCCGGGATAATGTATTTCTGGAGTTTGCCGCTGTCACAGCCGGACAGAGTTCGACAGACTGGTCAGGATGAAGCGCCCGAGGGGTCCATGGACCGATTCTGGCGGCGGTGACGACGACGGCGGAGGCGACGGCGGCTACGGCAGCGGCGACGTTGATCATCGACGATCGCCAATGCCGATCGGATTCGAAGATCGAGGATCGACGGTGATGACGAGCCCGAGACTTCTGGAGGTCCCTGGAGGCCCTCCGATGTCTCAGGAGGTCTCCACGAGCTCTTCAGAACGCCCAGAGATTCCATTCCCAGAGCCCAAACCCGTCTAAACATTTGGATTCCCGAGTCTTGATCTTCGAACTCCGATCGACGACGACGACGCCGACGACGACGACGATCGCCGATCGGCGGCGAGGGTCGAAGAGGTTGCCGACGATCGACGACGGAGAAGGAGGAAGGCCGCGCAGAGGCCTCCGCCGCCGCTGCACCCCTGTGGTCGCAGGGCAACCTGCTGATGCTGAGGCGGCTGCCCCCCCAGGGTAGGATCGAGGATCGAGGATGAGGAAGAATAGCAGGAGGGAGGAAGAGCAGGAGGGAAGACGGGCAGGAGGGAGGAGGATGAGGAGGGGGGGGGTCGATGATACAGGATCGTCGTTCGAGTACTCCAGGTTGCGAGGATACAAGGATCGAGGTTCGAGTATTCGGGGCTGCAAGGACTGAGAATTCAAGGACAGAGGAGTGGAGTAGTGCTTTCCTTTAGAATCCTGAGTTTCTCAGGGCCTACCGTGGAATCCTGAGGCCTCTTCCTCCTCAAATATATCATTCCTCCTCCTCCTCCTCCTCCTCCTCCTGGTCGTGTTTGACGGGAGCCTCCTTGATTTTTGTCTCTCCTCCAAGGCCTTCAAGGATGCGGGCATTAGTGCTCGATCGAAACGCTCCCCTTCCCTCCCATTGCGGCGCTCTGCCTCATTAAGGGCAGACAACTGAAAAGTACTTAGTCGTAGAAGTTGCTGCCTGCCCACTAGGAATACGGGAGGTCACCCGTAGGCGAGGGAGGATGAGGCTACAGAGGATGACAGAGGAGATACATTATGTTTGGTTGTTTGTCCTCTTCCCCCTCCCGTGCCGCTCTGATGCTCTGCTCCGCCCACTCGCTCCCATGCTTCGGTGGCGGTGCCCAGCGGGGGCGCCTATGCGGTGGCGCCAGTGCGGCGCAGGCACGTGAGGATGAGACGGGTGCGGGCGCAGCCAGAAGGCCAGATAGGTCTGGCATAGTAGACCACGTTCCTCGTCGGCGTTCTAGCGGACGGGTCGAGCGAGTCCAATTTGGACACCTGGAGCCCCACAGCCTACAGCTCTTTCCCGTGAAAGAATTCGGTGGCCCGCCGCGCCGCGGATTCTTCGCTGTAGGAGATGCGGAGCGATGTGGCGGCGGGCGACGGGCCCTGTGGTCCAAAATTATCTGCACTCTTCCTTGGGGGGGGCAGACTTATTTCTGCTACAAGACCCCCCTCTCTCTCTCTTTCCCTCCTGTCCCTCTCTCTCTCTCTCCCTCTCTCTATGCACTTAACCGTAAGGGCCTCGCCCCCTGCCATCCCCCTGTGTATCACAATGGGATATATCAGAGTCGCGTCGGTGCGTCTCGGCGATGCCTTGGCGCATCTGGGAGCATCATGCGGGGGCGGATAGGAATCGTCAGCGCATATTGAGGCGTTGGCGTTATCGAAGACGCCTACGGCGAATCACCCCTGTTTGTATTATGGCCGAGCGTTGTGGCAAGAGCTCTGCCAAGCTATCGGACCATGTGTTCCCTCAATCGTTGGGAAGACCCTTCGGGGAACACTTGGGGGAGGATGGCGGGGAAGATCATGAGGAGGAGGAGGAGGAGGAAGATATTCTAAGATTCGAAGATTTTAAGCTGGCCTCGCGCGCGCCCAAAAAGGGGCACGAGGTCCAGGCAGAGAAGGACAAGCATACACCGGCGGCGACGGCGACGACGGCGGCCGAGACGGCGACGGCGACGACGACACGACAGACGATAGACGGGACGCCCGCAGCGGCACGACCGCTGGCGGCGGCGGCGACGTCACGGCGGCTGCAGCCCGACCGGGGCGGGTGCGATGGAACGCCTGAAGCGTGCGGCCCCCGTTCCCGGGCTGAGCCTGAGCAGCAAGCATTACCCTCCGCGAATGCTGCGAAGAGTGGGTGCTTGGGGGGCTGTCCATATATATGTATACATATGTATATATATACATACAAGATGTCGCTGAGAGCAGTGGCGAGTTTGCAATCGATGCTCTCAAAGTCACCGCTGTCTTGTAAATCTTCAAAGGTACACTCGGGCTGTTCAGCCACGCATAGGAAGGCGTATGCTTTGGAGGGGCGCCCTGAAGCTGCCCCAAAATTCTTCCCTACCTTTTGCTGCCACTCGAGCAGCTGTGTGATTTTAGGTAAGGCAGGGACTCGTACGGTGTCTGACTCCTTGATCGGAGTAGTAGTATTGACCGAAACCGCAGATAGTGGTTGTGAGGGTATCGGTACACCGTCGGTAGTCGGTTCTGTGCGCACGGGGGACACGTGGCGTGTCTGTGCGGAAGCTGCCGCGGAGGCTGCTCCTGGTGACGTACGCCTTTGTTGTCCTGCATAAGCGTGTGGTGCTTCAGCGGACGCTGCCGTCGGCCTGGAGAGGCCTGGCGAAGGCTGAAGGTGAAGTGTAGTGTCGTTGGTGTGGTCAATCAATAAATTCGTCCAATTCGTCATGTCCTCTTGTATTTGGTCCACCTTTTGGCGTACATAATCGTCGGTGCCCCGAGAGCGTTGGGAATACCGATCAAGGCGTTGCTCGTAGGCTCGGAGACGGGCGTTTTGTGCCTCCATTTCACTTTCCAGACGTGTGAGAGACACTCCTCAACACGTACTTTTTCAGCATCTCTGTCCCGAAGGGCCTGGGAGAGCTCAGACTGCGTGTGGTCCGCCGCCGTCTTAACTTCCTGCAACCTGTCAGTGAAGTGGGCGAAATCGTAAACCGTAGGAGGAGATCCCAGCTGGCCAGTCTGGGCTCGTCCGACACGCAACTCTGCCAGGGCGTCCTGTACACCAGGTAAACGCTGCTCGATCACAGAGATCCGCTGCACGACAGCGTCGGTCGCATCAAGCCGTTGAGCGATGACTCTCTCAGTATTTTGCAACATGCCGAGCAGGGTCGACGACTTGGTACTTGCTTCAGCGCGAAGCGTCGCCGTGTGGTCCATGTTTGATCGAAGATCATTGATTTGGGACTGGACGTCGCCGAGGTCGTGTGCCTCGGATGGAGGCGGTCGGTTTCGGAGCTGGTCGTGGATCTCATCGTGTAGGATCCTGACCGCTGAAACGCCTGTGTCGCGGACGACCACAAGCTGTTGCTCCATCTGCACAAGGTAGTTGCGCAGGTGCTCGACCGTCGCAGACCGGTCACCTGAGTATGACATCTCACGGTCAACCTGAAACTGCAGCTCTCCTAAGATACGACGATCTTCAGCGATCCTGGAATCTATGATCGCAAAGGCGCCGTCGAAATCTTTGCGTAGGGCAGCAGCGTTGGCAGCGCTCGTCTGAACGCTCTGCACCAGTCCGGAGTACTGCCTGGACACGAAGGTTTCAACCTGGTCTCGCAGCTCAGCAAGTTCACCTGCAGCGGGCGTGGCCGCCTGCAGGTCGTCTGAGAGTAAGAGGTGAGGAGCGTCTGCTCCCTGGTGCACCTCTCGCGAGAAGTGCGTGGCCTCTAGGAGGCCGCACGCGGGCTCGACCTAGTCTCGTCGTATGGGGCCTGTGGCCTCGCGACGGGTGTTCATGGACGAGCTGCGGCTATGGCCGTGTGTGTGTGTGTGTGTGTTGTCTGACGGGATGATGAAACCTTGGGATGCTGCGTCTGCGGCTGTGCCGCCACTGGTCTACCGAGCTCCTCGAAGGCGGCTACGTGCGCCGACACTGGACCAGTCGCAGGACTGGCTGGGCCAGCGCTGTTGTTCCAACGGCGGTTAGCGCGGAAGCGCCCTGGATTATCGGGGCCAGTGGGGCTTGCGCCCGACGCAGTAGGGATTGCCCCCGACGTAGGAAGAGGAGATGGAGTGTCGAAAGTAGGCGTGTGAAATCCTCCAATGCCTGCTCCTGCTCCTTCTCCTGTCCCCCCGTGGGCGGCGTGGCGGCGAAGTTCAGCAGCTAGTCGCGCCTCGGGTCCGTCGGAGCTGGGGGGGGTATCGGGGACAGCCACACGGTCACCTCCAAGGCTCTCCAACTCATCACCGATCCGTCGCGCCGTCGGAGAGCTCGGACGCGAAGCCTCGAAGGATCCCTTACGGCGCATGCGCCGTCTGGGCTCCATCGGGGCTGCGAGCGAGATCGCGACGCAGGGTTCGGTGAATGGTGAGCCTTAAGGGCTGATAACCTGTGCATGGGGTTGGAGTACAAAGGTACAAAACCCTTCGATCCGTAGGTAGGGGAAAGGAGGGAAACGATGGGGATCTTTTCCTCCTGTGCGATCAACAGTCTGACCGATGCCAATACCTGAGCCCAAACGGCCAGGAGACATGAGAGTAAGGAGTATATATGAGGGTATTACACGGGTTCATTTCACAGGGGGCGTCTGGCGCCCTCCGGGCACGCCGGCGTCGAGGGGCTGTCGTGAGCGTGGGCTTTCGCAAGGAAAGAGCATGTCCCAGGGCGCGGGGCCACCCCACGGGCCGAACCAATTTTTGGTTCACGTTGACGGCTGCTCGATCTTTTTCGGACCCGGATGGGGGGCGTCTGGCGCCCTCAGGGCACGCCGGCGTCGAGGGGCTGTCGTGGGTGTGGGTTTTCATGAGGAAAGAGCATGTCCCGGGGCGCGGAGCCACCCCGCGGGCCGAACCAATTTTTGGTTCACGGTGACGGCTGCTTGTTTTTTTTTCGGGCCGGGATGGGGGGCGTCTGGCGCCCTCAGGGCACGCCGGCGTCGAAGGGCTGTCGTGGGTGTGGGTTTTCGTAAGGAAAGAGCATGTCCCGGGGCGCAGAGGCCGTGCGGGGCGTCTTGGAGGCCTCTTGGGCCGTCTTGTGACGAACTGGGGCATCTTAGAGCGATCTGTGGGCGTCTTGGAAGGCTTCTGGGGCCGGTTGGACCAGCTTGGCGGTAATTTAAGGCATTCTCGGGGTTGTCTTTAGCCCGTCCGGGGGGGTGGCGAATTAGGTGACGCCCATCTGGGGGGGGGGGTCCCTTATCATTTGATAGGGAAAAGGAATATATATACACATATATACATATATACATACATATATGTATATATGTATATATGTATATATGTATATGTATATGTATATGTATTTGTATTTGTATTTGTATATGTATGTGTATATATATATATATATATTCGGTCTGGACCTTTATCATTATTTTCATCGGACCGCAGCTCGCTCTGGTTCGAGCCATTGCATGGCAGAGCCAGCGCCCCCGCGCGCCCCCCTCGGCGCTGGGCCCATCGTCCTCGCAGCGGCGGCGGCCGGCGCAGGGC